TATTTTGTAATTTTTTTGTTCTGGCCAAAATATATTTTTAAAATATGCTACATATATGTTGTAAACCATGCAGGTTAATATGTACTGTCAATTATTTTTTTAACAAAATACTATATATATATATATATATATATATATATATATATACAATTTATTTATTTATTCATTTTTGCCATATGGATAGTGGCACATATTTATCAAAAATGATTAAAAAAAAATTTAATAAATAACTTGGCCTAAATTTAAAACTCTGGATTTTCATTGCCATTTGTTGTTTTAAACCTGTCCTGCATCTTTCATCAGATCTTCCCCTGATTTTGGCCTGATAATAAGAGACTCAGCTGGCAAAAATATTATCACAAGGAACAACGTTGACTGAAAATGGCCATCAGATGTGGCACTTTATACATTCATATTTTTCTCACCAAATATTGTCTCAGTATTGGATCAAATATTGGATTTTCAAACCATGCCTGACCGAAGTTATTGAATGTTTTGAATACTGAATATTGAATTGAATCAAAAGGTTTTGAATCAAATCCCGCATGGCACTGAATTTGAACCTCTGGTACAAAATGTTAGTTTTTAACAAATCTTGGAAAATATATTTAAGGCTTGCAAAGTTTGATGCTGTTTGGTCAGCAGGTGGGATCATGATGATGAGAAACTTATCAATGAAGACAACTGTGGGAAAGTCATGAAAATGTGTTGATCATAATGTTTGGCAAATTGACGTTACTAGATGTTAATTGAATGTTCTGTGTGTGTTTGCTCAGAGTGGAGTTGCACAGGGAAGCTGGGAAATCTCTGGGCATCAGCATCGTTGGTGGGCGGGGCATGGGCAGTCGCCTTAGCAACGGGGAAGTGATGCGGGGCATCTTTATTAAACACATCCTGGAGGACAGTCCAGCGGGACGCAATGGCACACTGAAGACAGGAGACAGGATTTTAGAGGTACACACATTTAGCTATTTATTATAACAGAATGATGTAAAATTAATTACATTTATAAATGATTATTAATATATTAAGATAATACAACTCTAATCTAAATAAAAATGCTAAAAAGCTCAAAATCAGGTTATAAATAGAGATCATATTTATTTTTTATTTTCTCTCAAAATTGTTTTTACTGAAGAACATACAGTTCTTGAAACGTCTGGAGTTACAAAATTAATAGTTAATTCATTTGCTATTTGCATTTTTCCAGTTATTGTTAATAAAATTAATTAATAAGTTAATAAAAGTTTGAAAACAAGCAGCTTTGTCATAATTACATGCAGGAAATACCTTAAAATATTTGACCTAACTTTCTAACTTTACACACTGAGCTAGTGGACAAATTCACTTTTACTTACAATTGTTTGAAATTGACTTGCATTTGCCAAATGTCTATTTCATTTTAATTATAAAAAGGCACTACTTCACCCAATATTTGCATGTACGGTGTTTTTTTTTTTGCTAAAGGAACACAAAGAATTGTATTTAATTATTTTCATTTAAATGCATCAATATAACAACACCCCTGTAAAAATAAAAATAAAAATAAAAAAGAAGTGCACTGAAGCATATCTACTTACTATGGAAATAATATACTTTGAATAAAAATACTTAAATAATACGTTGAATATTGCAATAAATATGAATTATACTTTAAATGTATATTAAATGCAATTAGCTGAACTTCAAAGTGCTTTTGAACCACTTAAATGGGACTTCAGTGCATCTTTATACTAATTTCATAATTCTATTTTTCCCTACTGCTGAATGTACTGACATGCATTTATGAGAAACTAATATATAACTTGTTTGTTATGTATTTAAATAAATATTTTAATGTAAACTTTAAATGTAATATTGAACATAAACATATAAAGTGTACTTTAAAGTAAAACTCTTAATTTGACATTTTGAATTGCACTTTTTAAAAGTGTTATAAAAGCGTCATGGAAGTGTTTATACATATAAATGGTATTTTATTTCATTAATATTATATCATCTGCAAGTACAGTATTTAAAAAATACACTTGAATATAATGAAATGCTTGAAGTAAACTTACAAGTGCACAATTAACACAATTAAGCACACTTCTTTTTCACAAGGGTAATATAAAATGTATTTTTCACATAAAAAAATGCCATGCAGAGACTTCATAAAAGCAAATCATTGAATACGTTTTGAATCAATTGATGAAAACAGTTTAGATTAATAGAAATAAATCAAGCTTACCAACTGTAACACCAGTGTGGCTACTGAAGTTTAAATCAGAAACTCTGTCTTAATGCTAAACTCTTACTCTTTGAGAAACCTAACGACCAAATATGAAGCATATTAAAGACACAGTGGTGCACAGTGTTTGATATTATCAGCAGAATCCGTATGAATATATTGTGAATCTTTAATATATCGCCCAGCACTAATACTAACTAACCGCTTTTGTAGTGCTCAGAAAAACAGGATCGAGCCGCTTTGCATCTGTCTCTCGCCCTCCACCTCATCTCTCTGTCTCTCTGTCTCTCTCTCTGTCTGTCATCAGCCTGACTCTCTGTATAGTTTTGATTCACCTCCTGTCATAGAGAAATACGGGACAGTTTTAAAATGCGTCCCTGTGCCAAAGTGTCAGGTAATTTCTGTTCAGCCCTCTTATCTCCGCTCCCAGCATCCCTCATTCAGCTCGGCTTAGCCTTAAGATTTGCCAGTAAGTCAACTTAAGCACATTTACGAATGAGATTTAACAAGCAACACTCCTTTTATGGCTCTCCAAAGTTCAACTGTTTCGCCGTTAATGTCCCGAGACACGTCCTCCACATTTACCCGCAGACCTCCTTTTTCAATAAGGCCACTTCTAGTTTACATATTAGATGTTTTAATGACTCGTCTTGCGGGATGAAATGTGTTTAAGCTGATATACTGGCGCAGGGTGATTCTGGCTTGCTAACCTTCTGTGCTGTGCTTGTAGAAACCTCCCGTAGCCCTGCTACAGCTGAAGCGCTCAGAGCAACCCCTCCATCCTTACGTTCATAGTGACCACTAAGTATTAGGTTAAGGTCCACAAATAACAAAAGCACCAAAAAAAAAACACCATAAAAATCATTTCAATTATAGCAGTGTTATTTTAGTATTATTTACTGTATATGCTATTGTAGTACTGATTAATGTTTTGAATTAGCTTTAGTTTTTTTTAGTTTCAGGGGTTTGTTTTATATTTTTGTTTTTGTAACTTTATGTGCTTTTGTCATTTTTTTATTTTTATTTTTTTAATACGACATATTTATGTTATTAATTTTATTTCAGTTTTAGTTTTAGTAATTTTTCAACTTATTTTATTTCAGTTACTTGGCGATGTTTATATTTTATTTTATTTCAATCAAAAAACCTGACTGATAATATTTTTCTTTAAGTCAATCATTTGTAAATATAGCAACATATCACATAAGTTGTGCTTTTTTGGTGTGCTGTTATTGATTGATTGATTGATTTTTTTAACATTTATATGTATTAAAAAATGTATTAAGAGTTTATTGAGAAGATATATATTTGTTTTTTTGTAATTTTTATGCACTTGTCATTTTTATTTAAATTAATACTTAAAATACTTCTAAATTATTTGTGTATTTTTTGTTTTAGTTTTAGTAATTTAAGAACTTATTTTATTTCAGTCTATTTTTTTACTTTGTACTTTTTTCCAAGTTTTTTTAAGTTTACGTTTTTAAATATAAATAAGCTAAAATAAAAAATACTGTATATATATATATATATATATATATATATATATATATTTGTTTACTAAACTCTCGGGTCTGTAAATCTAGCAATAACACACAAGTTTTACTTATTTATGTATTACAATTTAAGATCATTTATATGAAATTGTATCCAGAGAATTGAATTTGCATGGCACATCATGAAGGGTGAGGAAATAATGTCCCAATTTCTATTTGATCTCCGTTTCAGAAGCACAGTGTTCAGTAGACGTGGAGGCAAAGACCCCCCCGACGCGAAGTGCATTAAAATCCTTTAATGCACTGCAAGCCGTTGATTATTCTACTTATTCCACGGTCCTTTGCCAAGTTATAGACTAGTTAAAACTAGTACGTTTTTGCTCTTTGCAGCGCAATATTTGACCAGAAGTGTAAACATGACGGTTATTTTCGTCAGTTATGGCACATTAGCTCTAGCATTCTGCCCGCTTCAAATCAGACACAGAGATGAAATAGTGCGGTAAGATCACATTTATTTAAATGAATTATAGCATTTATTTCAATTAATTACTTATCAAGAGAGAGAGAGAGAGAGAGAGAGAGAGAGATGATAGTTGTGTGTGTGTTACCTGCGTCTGGGTGTGTCTCTCTACAAACAATTAATTACTTGAAAAACAGTGATTTTACCACCACGTTGCTGAAAAATATAATGTAGTGGTCTAGTATCTAGGCTATTTTATTAATAAAAATCGCGGAGAAGCATTGACAACAAGTTTATGTGTGTGCGCAGCACAATCTGCAATCTCTGACTCTCTCACTCTTTGTGTGTGTGTGTGTGTGTGTGTGTGAGAGTGTGTGTGTGTGCGAGTGGTGTGTGTGCAAGTGATGTGTGTGTGTGTGTGCGAGTGGTGTGTGTATGTGTGTGTGAGTGTGTGTGTGTGCAAGTGATGTGTGTGTGTGTGCGTTGTGTGCATCAATTAAGGCGCATTAATATAAAACAGTGATCAAACTGACTTGGAGCTACCTGTGCATTAAACAGGTTTACTGCATATCTGCCAGCCAATCAGAATCCAGTATTCAGACAGACCATGGAATAAACAACATTTATGCATGCATATATATATATATATAATTTTATTGTAACAATTTTGCACTATTGTAAGTAATATTAGAAATTATATATAAATGTGCAAATATATGCAGATCAGACGAGCATGATTGAAAAGCTGGTTTAAATCTGAAGCTTTTTTGTATGATTAGTTTTTAATCGCACGATCCACATGATATGCATTACTCTGTGTAACACAAAAGGAGATGTTTAGTAGAATACTCTTGCTGCTCTTTTCCATACAGTGAAAGCACACAGTGACCAGCTGTTAAACTCAGAAAAAGGAATAAAATACATCCCAAATGCAGTGCTGTGTCAAGAACAGACCAAAATGTAAAGAGCAGCGTGAACATTCTGCTAAACATCTTTTTTGTTCTACTTAAGAAACTTATGTACAGTAACAATGTCATATTTTTTAGCAATCTCAATTTTACACTGTAACTGATATTCATTGAAAAAAAACATTCATTAAACATGAATTTAGCAGGCTAATGAATGATTTGGAAGGTTTTTACAGAACAGCAGCATGTCTTGTTTTGTTGGTTCTTCATGCTGAGAAATGAAGAACAGATTAAATGTGATTTTGAGTATATTACGCTTCATATTTCATGGGTTTAATGGAGGATGCCTTGCTGACAGATGACGTGCTAATTGGATAGAAATTATATCTTGTTTAATGTGTTTTATTTTTAAAACTGTGGCAGCTGTATCGAGAGGAGGGGAAAAGTGTCCTGTCGCTGCCTGTCGTTCCACATGTCGGGGAAACCGACTCGGACACACTGACTGAGATTCCCGACAGACTCGCTCTGCATAGCGACGGTCCTGATGAGGAAGAGGAGGATGAGTACGGATACAGCTGGAGTAAGTCTCACATTCGCTGTAACACACAGTGGCCAGCAGAGAGCACCTATCACACAGACTAGTTTCAGAGAGAGACACTGGTGAAAAAAGAAGTGCACTGTAGTAGGATACTTTAAAAGAGTACTTATTATGGAATTAATATACTTGACTATAAGGATATAAGGTTACACTTTATTTTACAGTGTCTTTGTTACAGTGTAATTACTGCTCCGGGTGTGTGTTCACGGTTTGTGTGTGTTCACTGCTGTGTGTGTGCACTTTGGATGGGTAAATGCAGAGCCCTAATTCTGAGTATGGGTCACCATACTTGGCCACATGTCACTTCACTTCACTTTATAATTACACATTTAAGTACTGAGTCAAGTCAAGTTTATTTGTACAGCGCTTTTCACGATACAAATCATTGCAAAGCAATGTAATATTAATTAACTACATATACTTGCTGCATGCTTAGAATGAAGGTCTGGTTTATGGTTAGTTGCATGTAATTATGCCTAATTTATTGTTTTTACTATTGTAAGTGCATGTAACGTGTAACAAGGGCACTGTAAAATTAAGTTGGTGCTTAAGTACAATTGTATAGATAATTTCATAATTACTTTTGAAGTAATGGTTGAAGTACTGCTGAATGTACAGACAAGCATTTATGGTGAACTAAAAGATAAAGTAATATACTTTAATATAAAATATGCTTTATACACAACACAAGATTATCAAAACATGATGTACTTTGAGAATAATACTTTAATTTGACAGTATAACAAAGTACACTCTTTAAAAGTGTACTTAAGTGTGTTAAGAAACAGTCATGAAAGTGTCTCTCTTTAAGTGCTGCCAAATATACTTAAGTGTGAACTTAATACAGTTTTTGAAGTCTTAATTGCATGTTAACTGCAGTAAAAATGAAAATGTATTTAGTGTAAATCTATATTAAATGCAATTAGATGAACTTTAGAGTGTTTTCTGACCCACTTAAGTAAGACTTAAGTGCATCTTTATATGTAATTTCATAATTACTTCTATTGTCTTCTAAATATGGTTAAAGTACTGCTGAATGTACTGACAAGAATTTATGCTAAACTAAAATATACTTTAATGGCATTTCTATTGAAACTTGCATGTCTTGTGTTAATATGTATTTATAATCATGAAGTTGCAACTTAGTACATCTAAAATACATTAACTTAAAATGTATTATCAAATAACACTATAGTTAAAATTAGCTTTAGTTTGTTAGTCAACACTTAAGTGTACTTCTTAAAAAATAACAAAAGATTATTAAAACATAATGATTAAAATGAACTTTAAAGTAAAACTTTTAAATTGACATCATTACAAACTTTGTACTTAAGTGTACTTAAAAAGTAAGTGAGTTAAGAAACAGGCATGAAAGTGTCTCTCTTTCAGTCACTGAAGTGGCTTTTAAAATTGTTTTTTAAAAATATATATTTAAGATTTGAAGCACACTACAAGTGCACATCCAATACAGTTAAGCGCACTTCTTTTTCACAAGGGGTATGTTGCCATTCACACTGTACTGAACTAAATCTGTTATTAGACTGCAGTGATATGCTGCAGTAATACTACAGATTGCAAGTGTAGTTTACAACTAAAAGTATCTAACTGCAGGTGTGTCGTGTGTGTGTGTGTGTCGTGTGTGTGTGTGTGTGTGTGTGTGTGTCTGTGTCTGAGAAGAAAAGGTAACGGAGCGGTACGGTCGTTTACCCGGTGAGCTGCACCTGATCGAGTTGGAGAAGGGTCGCACAGGTTTGGGTTTGAGTCTGGCAGGGAACCGCGATCGTTCACGCATGAGTGTGTTTGTGGTGGGAATCGATCCCAACGGCGCCGCCGGCCGAGACGAACACATCGTGGTGGGAGATGAACTGTTAGAGGTGAGTGTGTTTAAAACATCAAAACAGCAGTCTTGTGAAAAAGAAATACACTTTAGCATACTTTAAAAAAGAGTACTTATGTAATTTAAAAGAATATACTTAAGTGTAAACTGAATGTAATGTTTTCAGACACTTAATTGCATATTATTTGCAATTAATATTAAATGCCGTTTTTTTGACTCACTTAAGTTGGTACTTAAGTTAAAAAAATATATATATAATTTATTTTATTTACTATTATTTACTTTACATAATGAAGTTTTTGAAGTATGGTTGAAGTACTGCTGAATGTACAGACAAGCATTTATGGTGAATTAAAATATAAAGTAATACACTTTATACACAACAAAAGATTATCAAAATAATGATTTTTAAAATGTACTCCGAGAGTAAAACTTTAATTTGACAGTATAACAAAGCACACTCTTTAAAAGTGTACTTAAGTGTGTTAAGAAACAGTCATGAGAGTGTCTCTCTTTAAGTCACTTAAGTGGCCTTTTATTTCATTAATATATCATCTGCAAGTTTTTTTAAGTACACTACAAGTGCACATTCAATGCAGTTATGCACACATCATTTTCATGCTAAACAGATCAGGCCTTTTTCTGATTCACCTGGTTGTCTTGGCAGATAAACGGTCAGGTTTTGTACGGCCGCAGTCATCAGAACGCCTCTGCCATCATTAAAAGCGCCCCTTCAAGGGTCAAGATCATCTTCATCCGGTAGGTCGAAGTTTGTGGTGTGTAGGTGTTGATCTGAAGAGATTTTGAAGCCTGTTGCAGGCTGACACGTGCGGTGTGTGTGTGTGTGTGTGTGTGTGTGTGTGTGTGTGTGAAGATCATCTTCATCCGGTAGGTCGAAGGTTGTGGCGTGTAGGTGTTGATCTGAAGAGATTTTGAAGCCTGTTGCAGGCTGACACGTGTGGTGTGTGTGTGTTCCAGGAACAGAGATGCTTTGAGTCAGATGGCTGTCGGGCCGATGAAGGAGATGGACTCACCGGACGCACACACAGAGGTGAACTCACACACATCTGTGTCCTTAACCCAGAGTTTAAGAGACATTATTTACTTCATTTCTGAATCAGTTTTACCTTTTAGGATCAAGTCAGCTTTAGACTCTTGTGAAAAAGAAGTGCTCTTGATTGTGAATGTGCACCTGTAATGTACTTCAAATCTTAAAAGAATGTTTTTTTGCAGATAATATAATATTAATGAAAGGAAAGGTCACTTAAGTGACTTAAAGAGACACTTACATGACTGTTTCTGAACACACTTAAGTACACTTTTAAAAAGTGGCCTTTGTAGTAATGTCAAATTAAAAGTTTTACTTTAAAGTACTGTTGTAATTATTATGTTTTAATAATCTTATATCATGATTTAAAGAAGTGCACTTATGTTGATGTGTTGACTAACATACTTAAGCACATGTGAATTACTTGGTAATAATTTTAACTGTAGTGTGTTATTCAATATTACATTTAATTTAATGTATTTTAAAGGCACTAAATTTACACTTTATTAGTGCTGTTAGGGCAGGTTTCTCGCTCTGTAGCGGTGATGTTCAGTGTTTTTTTCTCTCTGAAGGAGGATGACAGCAGGAGCGGATGCATCATTCAGAGTGTGGATGAGAACGGAGCAGCCGGAAGGGTATGAATCACTGTGCTGCAAAAGAAACGATGTTCACAACCTAGGCCTGGGTGATAAAACGGTATCGATATTTATTGACGGCACACCTTTTTCGATAACGATATAAAAAATGTTCGATATAGGCACGTGCTATGAGTGACGCCGACAGCTCACACAAACATGAACACATGCTGAGTGCTGTGCCTGCCTGTGATGAGGAGATTGTGAATAAAGAATGAATATTAGTCGAATTTAAAATAAACATTTGAATGTTAGGTGTGCATCAGGGAGCGTCATCAGTGGCGCGCGAGATGCGGTGATGTAAGTGACGTTGTTGCATTTTAATGTTTTGTTAGTCTAGCCCACGAGATGCGCCGCTGCTGCGTTATTCATTCAACATATTAGAGAAATATAGAAGCTCAATGCGGAGAAGATCTTGATTAGGTTAAAACCGAAACCAAGCCATTCACACTGATGCATATTCAGCGCATTTTTTAGTCGGACAAATATGACTGCTGCACTCGCGTCTCACCATGCAAAATTAAAACAGTTTAAACCTTTAAAAAACACGTCGCAAATTTGTGGAGGTTTATTCCTTTTCACTGCGTCTCTTATGTTTTTAAAGGCAATCTGTGTAAATACATGATGCTGTTTTGTTCATAATTGTTTATGCAATTTACGAAATATTAGATTTATATGAGTTAATTTAGACGTAATGCACAGTTTTTATAGAGTTATTTCCTTGCATTGACAATTTAAATGCGCTGCATTATTTTGTTCATTGCGCCCTCCTGTGGCCTCGGGAGACAAGACAAAAGTTTCCTTGATACCTATTTAATCTGCATATAAAACATTAGAAATTAGATATTTGTTTAATTTTTATTGTGTTTTTAACTGTTAAAACAAAAAAAAATGTGTTGTTTGTCTCAATAAATTGGATTGATTTAAAAATACAGTGGTTAAATTTGAAAAAAACATTGTTGCTCTTTGTTTTAAAAAATATTTAAAAAATGTCAATAATTATCGATAACGAACCATATGAAACATTATATCATTGATACATTTTTTTAGCTATATCGCCCAGCCCTATCACAACCCTTTGTACTTTTCAAATGTGACATACAGTATTTCTGATGTTCTGCCTGAGAGAAATAGAGGGTTTTTAAATGTAAGGAAAAGTGTTGCCTGTGTGACATTTTGATTATTACAAAGACAAACTTTTTTTTGCATTGCTGAATTGAGCGCAATTAAGACCAGCAAAGTGTTTTAGGAAAGTAAACAGGGTTGGTTTTTATTAAGTCTTAGGGGTAGGGCTTAAGTGTTATTTTAGCATCACTGATAAACTGTTATAGTTTTTGTTAATGTTTTGAATTAGATTTTACATTTTCCGTTTTGACTTTAATTTCAGTTGTTGTGTGTTTTTGTCATTTTAATTTTTAAAAATATGTCTACATAGTATTTATTCATTGTTATTTATTAATTTTACTTTATTTAGTTTCAGTTGTTTTAATACTTTAACTTGAACTAAACAGAACTGAGAAATATTGCCTTGACAACTAGCTCAAATAAAATAAGTTGAAGTTTTATTTCAGCTAATGTTTATTTTATTTCAAGTAACGAAAATGTCAATAATAGTCAATAATAACCCTGTTTAATGTATAGATAGCCCTCAGAAAGAAAGAAACTGTTTGCTGGGGTCATTATACAAATATATTTGAACACAAAATGCTGTGATTAACCAATCACAATAAAGCATGCCTGAAAAATTGGAAAATTTATTTAAAAGCAATTTTGTGGATGTAAATAATTCATAAAAATAATTCACACTTGATGTCAATGTGTGTTGCGCTAATACTGTGTCTTTTAGATTTAATAAGGCTTTTGAGAGAATATCTGTGTTTTATGGTAACAATATATACTATAATGCAAATATCTGTGTGTGTGTGTGTGTGTGTGTGTGTGTGTCTGTGTCTGTCTGTGTGTGTGTCTGTGTGTCTGTGTCTGTGTCTGTCTGTGTGTCTGTCTGTGTGTCTGTGTCTGTCTGTGTGTGTGTCTGTGTCTGTCTGTGTGTCTGTGTCTGTGTCTGTGTGTCTGTGTCTGTGTCTGTGTCTGTGTCTGTGTCTGTGTGTGTTTCAGGACGGTCAGATTGCAGCGGGACACCGGCTGCTCACAGTGGATGATGAGATGGTGCTGGGACTCTCTGTGGAAAAGGTAAAACTCTTTCCAACTGTGAAATGTTTTGAAGTAAGAGTTTAAAGCAATAGTCAGTTGTGTCATTATTTACTCACCTGCGTAGTTCCAAACCCTCATGACTTTACGTGTAACGCAAAAAATATAATATTTTTAAATAAGCAAGAGCATAGGAGCTGTCAAGCTCACAAAAAGACATAACTCTGGTCTAAATGAATCACAAAATTGGGTTTTTACACTATCTTCTAGTGTAGTGAGCAACAAACCAAAATGTGAAATTTAAAAACATTATAATTGTAATACAAAATTCAGTCCTGTTGTAGATTCTATAATCTTCCTGTGCTCTGTAACTCTTTTGTTACCATGTTACAGAATGTGTGTTTTGTCACAAACCAATATTCTGTAAATAACCTGTTAAGATTTTTGTGAATGTACACTAATGTTCAAAAGTTTAGTGTCAGTTTTTAAAGATATTAATGCTTTTATTCAGCAAGGATGCATTAAATTGATCAAAAGTGACATTAAGGAAATGTATAATGTCAAAAAGATTTATGTTTCAAATAAATGCTGTTCTTTTAAACTTTCTATTCATCTGTGAATTCTGCAAAATACAATTTTAACATTGATAAGAATCAGAAATGTTTCTTGAGCAGTAAATCAGCATATTATAATGATTTCTGAAGGACACTGAAGACTGGAGTAATGATGCTGAAAATTCAGCTTTGATCACAGAAATAAATTACAGTTTAACAGTTATTAAAACAAAAAAAAACACTTGTTTTAAATTGGAATAATATATTATAGTTTTTACTGTATATTTTATCAAATAAATGCATACGTTTGAACAGTAGTGTATGTAAACAGGATTTATTATCTACAAAAATGTCACCGTCTGATGTGAAATGTGTGTGTTGTAGGTGACGTCACTCCTCCAGAAACCCCAGCAATCTGTGAAACTCACCATTTGCACTGACTCCGCCTCCCAACCCTCCTCATCCAATCAGATTTGCTCTGGATCAGACGCTGGAAGCAGCCTGCCGCTGGTTTCTCTGACATCATCAGAGACAGAGCCAATCAGGAGTAAGAGGGCGGGGTCTGGGGCTATTAAAGGAAAACAGAACAAGTTTATTATTGAATGAATCAGAATCTCTGTCCTCATGAATATTGTGCTGCAGATTCCAGCAGATGCTCCACACCGGCGACACTGGCGTGTGATCCGGCGACGTGTCCCATCATCCCCGGCTGTGAGACCACTATAGAGATCAGCAAGGGCAGAACAGGACTGGGGCTGAGCATCGTGGGTGGCTGTGACACGCTGCTGGTGAATAAGCTCACTGACGTGTGCCACTGATAGAAACTTTAAATTACTAAAATGTGCACAAAATTAGCTTCCACCATCAATTTTTAAGTTACATAGTCTTCAACTCAAAAAGTTGGAACTTAAAGAAAATCCAGTTGTCGTTGTTATTTATTAAAACTAAAACTATTGATTAAGTGAAATAGAGCTGAAATAAAATATAAATATTATTTGAAAAGCTTGAGCTAAAAAACGGTTAAATTAGAATTAGAACACAAATTAGAAATGTTATCGTGGCAGCTAACTGAGAGATATTACAAATTTAAGTAAAAATAAAAATAGCTATATATACAGTATATATTGCTATTTTTAGTAATAAATAGCTAATTACAAATATTAAAAACAAAAACGAATTAAAATGACAAAAGCATATAGCAAAATAACTCAAAATACATTTTAGCTAAAAGTATTAAAATAAAAATGTTAATTTGAAATATTAATAAAAGGTAAATAGAATTTTAAAAACTAATAAAAATGGCAAAATCATAGCAAAATTACTTAAAAAGCTAAAATATAAAAATAAAAGAGATTTTAATTAAAAGCTAAATATAAATATATAGAAACGAAAACTAATAAAAATGACAAAAACATATTACAAATAATTAAAACTTAAGCTAAAATTTAAATAAAACTGAAAATGTAAAAATAAAAGCTAATTCAAAGTATTACACTATAATAGTATACAACACTATATAAATAATACTGTACAGTAACACTGGTCTTATCAGCACATCAAAATATTGTAAAATATAATGATTTAAAATGACTCTTTAAGTCACTTAAGTGGCCTTTTATTTCACTAATATTACATTATCTGCAACTACAGTTTTTATTTATTTATGTACTATTAAGATTTGAAGTCCACTACAAGTGCACATTCAACACAATTAAGCACACTTCTTTTTCACAAGGACGTAGGAACTCATTTATAAGGACTGGGACTGTATCTGTCTGTGTTCAGGGCACTATAATAATTCACGAGGTGTACGAGGAGGGAGCTGCGTCTAAAGACGGCCGACTGTGGGCAGGAGATCAGATTCTGGAGGTAAAGTCATGACTCTTCTGACTAGCCTTTTTATTTCATGCCAGCTTCATTTCATCCGTCTCGTAACTCATTGTCTCTCTCAGGTGAGCGGTGTAGATCTGCGCGTGGCGACGCACGACGAGGCCATCAATGTTTTGCGGCAGACTCCGCAGCGCGTTCGTCTGGCGGTCTTCAGAGACGAGGGTCAGTATAAAGAGGAGGAGCTGTGGGACTCGCTGAGCGTCGAGCTTCAGAAGAAACCAGGCCACGGCCTCGGACTCAGCGTCATCGGGAGAAGGTACTAGAGCACTAGTTAAAGCTACTAGTCTGTAAAGTGTGAGTAAATACTAAATTGGGCTGTCTGCATATTTTTACACATTGACCATATTAAATCCGTATAGGACGCAGTTGTTTTAGCATCTTTTATCTAAACATATGAAAATGCTTCAGTATGTCTTGCATTTAAATACATTTCAGCATGCATGTCGATGTTAGAAGTTAAATCATGATGGATGTGCAACAGACACCTTTTGCATGAATTTTCTCAGAGACATTGGCTGTTGCTAAATTAGTAATACATGTAATGGTGCATGAGTGTGAAATTGTAACATTCATTTTAACCGCAATAAAAATGCACACAAACATCTCTTTTTAAATTATGTTCTGTTTACAGCCCACGTTCTTGATTTGCCGTATAACATTAAAATATATCTCCACTTTCGAAAATGAAAAACGTTTAAAATGAATACTTACTGTACCGTGTATGTACTTATTATAACAATTACAGTAACTGGGTAATAACCTACCCCTAAACTTAACATTAACCCACGTAGTTACTTTGTGCTATGCAGTACTTTCTTGGATACGTACACTGAAAGTGCACTTACTGTTAAATAAAGTGTAACCAAAATAATATACTTTAAAAGAATATACTTTAGTGTGAACTGAATGCAGTGTTCTCAGACACTGAAATGCATGTTAATTGCAATTAACTGTAATGTGTTATTGTGCTATCGAACTTTTTGACTCACTTAAGTAAAACTTAAGTACATTTTAAAATGCAGTTACTCGTACTGCCGAATACACTGTGACAATGTATCATTCTCTTTAATTATGTTATTAAAAATATCACCCACTTGTCAGCTTAACCTAAAATGTTATGTTTTTGTTTGTTTGTTTGTTTGTTTGTTTTATTATTATTGTCTATGAATTCATAAAACAAGTGATACTGATGAAAATCAAAAAAATAATTCAAATTAAGCGCATTTAAGGTTGTATAGCTTAGGTTTCTAACTAATCTTTTTAATAGCACTAAATTGTTGAAGTTTTTTTATGTAATATGATCATGTTTCAACCAACTTTTAACCCCAGTTGTACTGGAGAATACTAAGTAATCAATAAACAAAAATTCAATTGTAATGATATATATATTTAATAGTACATGTAATACACTACAACATATGAACTTTAAATGCAATATTGAATAACATACTTCAGTTAAAAAGATAAACAAGTGCTTTACATGTGCTTTAGTATGTTGGTCAACACATCACAATAAATGTACTTCTATAAAACAAGATTATTTTAACCATAATGATTTCAAATGTACTTTTTTAAGTAAAACTTTTAATTTGACATTATTACAAAGGTCACTTTTTAAACGTGTACTTAAGTGTGGTAAGAAACAGTCATGAAAGTGCATGTGAAACAGACGCCCTTGAGCTGTTTCCATACATAATTTCACCTATATTGCGTACATTATATAAGCTAGTAGCTTGTTCTTTATCCATTTGAAACAAAACTTAATTATATAGCCTAGTATTAAATTGTATAGGCCTGCGTTAAATAATTTTTATTAGAAAGTGTCATAAGTTTTTTTTTGTACTTTGTTATAGACTATTTAGATACTTGATCATCAAGCAATAATCATAATTTTTCTGATTAACTTTTATTAGGAAATAGGAATGTTCATTTCTGTTATTTTATTTCTCCTAAAGCCTAACCGACAACCGACGGTCGTTAAGCCAGTCTTAACCGTTAACCGACAAGATTACGTTAAATTACAATTAAATGAAATTTTAATTGATACGTAGCTGTGACCCATTAAAAATACTTAAATTTGTTTTCCAGGGATTCATTTTATACACGCAAAAGGCAGCATAAACAACAGAATGTGAGGATTCACATGGTCACCTGCAGCGCTTCTGCGAAAACAGTATAAAGCTATATATAAAAGAAATAAATAGGCCTATATGCGAATTATATTTTTCTACATAATTACTGAATTAACAAAATGAAAGAAAAAATCTCTGCAACAATTAGTAGCCTAAATTTCATTAGATTTGTCTGATGCGCTCTTGAGAAAGCGGCATCCTGTTTGTTTCCTTTATTTTACAAAAGCACAGTGTTTTGTTTTTGTGACTGTACGCAAATAAAATAAATATTTAGAATAGTTTTGAATTATGTCTTAATCTTATATGACCACAAATGAAGGAGTAGGCTATTGTAAGTTGTTTTCACTTTTATAAGGAAAAAAGTTAAGCATTACTAACTCGACAACGCAGCCTGTTCATTGTCATAATAAAATACAGTCAGCCAAACATATTGAAAAAACATGCTATTTTATTTCCCCTCATTTCAGAACAAATCCTTTAAATTTAACGGTAGAACAGTACTCAGAACAAAACAAGAATAAAAATATAAGAAGCGACTAACAAGCCAAAACGAATTAGGAGTAGGCTATTGTAAGTTGTTTTCACTTACAAGGAAAAAAGTTAAGCATTACTAACTCGACAACGCTGCCTGTTCATTGTCATAATAAAATACAGTCAGCCAAACATATTGAAAAAACATGCTATTTTATTTCCCCTCATTTCAGAACAAATCCTTTAAATTTAACGGTAGAACAGTACTCAGAACAAAACAAGAATAAAAATATAAGAAGCGACTAACAAGCCAAAACGAATTAATTTAAAATGTTGTACTTATCATTCCAATATCCACGTAAAACAAGATCTTCAGAACAAAGTGAATCAATTTTAACTTGCAACGTACATCAAATTAAGCTATGTAGGCCTATGTTTGAGAGGTAACTCGTTAATAATATGAATATGATTTAATGCGCTTTTGAACTACAGGGAAACGGTGCTTTAACGTGAGCAACACGAACACGGAAGCTGCCTATAGGCTAATTCTGTCATGTGACAACACATTTATTCGCGTTAATGCCTCATTTCTCGACAAAAAGTGTTTCCAAACTAATTTTTGCGACATTTGAACTATCGATATAGAATTTAGGCGCTAAAGACACATGAGAAATGTTATCGATAAATGGCATTTCCATCAGCTATATCGGTAAAAATTTTGAAGCGCTAAATATATATATATATATTTTTTAATCCTTGGATGGAAACCTGATAATTGGCTTTTTCTAAATCAGTAATGTAATACAATAGCCGGTTTCCATCCAAAGTTGCGAATTTAACTTATGCGCAAAATTGAAATATCGCATAAAACATTTGCAAAAATGCACCGTTTCCATCCAACGAGTCAAAGAGAACAAATTCGTCACTTCCTGGTAGAACTGACGCTAGGCTATACAGTATATCACTATGAGAAGTAGGAGAAACCATTGAATACAATCATTTTCATTGGCCTATATAATAAATGACTTGCGCCTCAGAGCGAGAAGACAAAACTAAATAAATGCGATCATTGCTTTCGGAGGTGGATGCTGATGTTTGGGAACGCAGTCGTGTAACAGTTCTGGGAGGCAATTATACAGAAATGCATTGATGACAGACTTTGCTCGGACATTTCAAAATGACCATAACATTTCAGATGCTGAGGAATGAGATCGGTCCACTGGTTAGGTTTTGCCGTCCCATAGCGCAGTCACATTACTTTTTTGATGCGCATGGAGGAATTTCCTCGGCAAATGCGTTTCCATCTCCTTTTGTTCACATTAACCCTCTTTCGCACAAGTCAAAAACCACCTCAAGCGAGCGTAAAAATGTGTTTGCGAATTAAGGGATTTTTATTCGAAATTTGCCGTTTACATTACGCGTTTCTTATGCGATACTTCAAAATGCGCATACAAACTGGGTGATGGAAACATAGCTCTTGTATTGAGCTCTGTATCTCCTGCATGAGCAGTCAGTGATTGTGTCTCTGTCTCAGGAGCGACACAGGGGTGTTTGTGTCGGACATTGTGAAGGGTGGAGCGGTGGAGACTGACGGAAGGCTGATGCAGGGAGATCAGATCCTCTCGGTTAACAGCGAGGACGTTCGCTCAGCCACTCAAGAGTATGTGGCTGCGCTGCTCAAGGTGAGCGTCACAGGGTCACTGCCTTTTACAGTTGATTATTACTGAAAGATATTCAAACATTCAGACGTATCAGATATATCACTGGGAGTATCGAAAGAGAAGAGACTGTTTCTGTATATATATATATATCTGTATAGTTTTTGGTTTAAACATTATGTATTTTATAGTGCTGTCAAACGATTAATCGCGATTAATCGCATCCAAAATAAAAGTTTTGTTTACATAATATATGTGTGAGTACGTTTGCGAATTAAGGGATTTTTATTCGAAATTTGCCATTTACATTACGCGTTTCTTATGCGATACTTCAAAATGCGCATACAAACTGGGTGATGGAAACATAGCTCTTGTATTTGAGCTCTGTATCTCCTGCATGAGCGGTCAGTGATTGTGTCTCTGTCTCAGGAGCGACACAGGGGTGTTTGTGTCGGACATTGTGAAGGGTGGAGCGGTGGAGACTGACGGAAGGCTGATGCAGGGAGATCAGATCCTCTCGGTTAACGGCGAGGACGTTCGCTCAGCCACTCAAGAGTATGTGGCTGCGCTGCTCAAGGTGAGCGTCACAGAGTCACTGCCTTTTACAGTTGATTATTACTGAAAGATATTCAAACATTCAGACGTATCAGATATATCACTGGGAGTATCGAAAGAGAAGAGACTGTTTCTGTATATATATATCTGTATAGTTTTTGGTTTAAACATTATGTATTTTATAGTGCTGTCAAACGATTAATCGCGATTAATCGCATCCAAAATAAAAGTTTTGTTTACATAATATATGTGTGAGTACTGTGAATATTTATTTTGCATGTAAAAATACACACACATGCATGTATATATTTAAGAAAAATATGTTTTGAATGAAAAAATGAATATAAATATATGCATGTAAATACATGTAAATATTTTCAAAATAGATACTATGTGTGTGTGTGTATTTATATATGCATAATAAATATACACAGTACAAACACATATATTATGTAAACAAAAACTTTTATTTTGGATGCGATTATTCACGATTAATCGTTTGACAGCACTAGTATTTTAGTATCATTCTGTTAATATTCTGAGTCAGAATTCCTTAGGTCATTTTTTTAAATGCCTATATAGTTTTTATTAATTATTTATTTAGTTTTAAATTAAAATGTTGAAATACAGTACGTTTTTTATTTTATTTATTTATTTTTATTTTATTTATTTACTTATTTTTATTTCAGCTAATGTTTATCTCGTTTGAAGTAGCAAAATTCTATTGTACTTTTGTTTTAGATGTAGTTAGCAATAATAACCCCAGTGAAAATCAATAGTAATGTGCAGCAAGATTTGAGAACTGTCAATAAAATAAAAGTCTATAAAATGCAGTCGCCATTTACATGCTGTGCCCTATGTTTGATTTATTGTTTTTAATGAGCTGTGAATCAATAATGACCAGATGCTCTCGTGAAAATGTTTCATAATGTCTCCAAAACTTCTGAAATAGTGAAACCTAACTCTCATTAACTAAAAAACTTCATAGTTTTTGAAATGTTGAGTTTGGCTTCTTCTCATGTCTTTTTTGGTATATAAATGTGATTGATCTAGTGTGAATGTGAAAACCAATGCACACTCATGTAAACTGGTTTTGTTTTTCCTCAGAGTTGTGCTGGTCCAATCCAATTGGACGTGGGTCGTTTTAAGGCGGGACCATTCCACTCCGAGCGCCGTCTGTCCCAGAGCAGTCAGGTCAGACACCGAAACAGTTAAAGACTCACACTCTCTTGGTTTCTGTTCCATCACTTTTCATCTGACAGCTCTGATACCGAGTCAGACTCTCTAGGCATCAGTATAGCAGGAGGGGTCGGCAGTCCTCTGGGTGACGTGCCCATATTCATCGCGATGATGAACCCCAGCGGCCTGGCAGCTCAGACGCAGAAACTCTGGGTGTGTGTGTGTGTCTAACATCTGAACCAGAGTTACAAAACTTTTTTTTTTGTCCAGTAGGTCTGACACACTGAAGCTGGTGTGCATTTGTGAATCATAGTCTCTCATGTTTATTATCTGTGTGTGTGTGTGTGTGTGTGTGTGTCTTAGATTGGAGACAGGATTGTGTCCATCTGTGGAAACTCGACGGAGGGAATGACTCACAATAAAGCTGTTTCACTGCTGAAGAACACAACAGGCATCATACAACTACAGGTACAAAACACCACGGCACAGCAGCCATCACATCCACTGTGAAAGAGAAGTATTCACTTCAGATAGATAGATAGATAGATAGATGATAGATAGATAGATAGATCGATCGATCGATCGCTCTATCTATCTATCTATCGATCGATCGATCGATCGCTCTATCTATCTATCTATCGATCGATCGATCGATCGCTCTATCTATCTATCTATCGATCGATCGATCGATCGCTCTATCTATCTATCTATCGATCGATCGATCGATCGCTCTATCTATCTATCTATCGATCGATCGATCGATCGCTCTATCTATCTATCTATCGATCGATCGATCGATCGCTCTATCTATCTATCTATCGATCGATCGATCGATCGCTCTATCTATCTATCTATCGATCGATCGATCGATCGCTCTATCTATCTATCTATCGATCGATCGATCGATCGCTCTATCTATCTATCTATCGATCGATCGATCGATCGCTCTATCTATCTATCTATCGATCGATCGATCGATCGCTCTATCTATCTATCTATCGATCGATCGATCGATCGCTCTATCTATCTATCTATCGATCGATCGATCGATCGCTCTATCTATCTATCTATCGATCGATCGATCGATAGATAGATAGATAGATAGATAGATAGATAGATAGCATCTACATGCAAACTGAATGTCATGTTTTCTGACTCTTAATTGCATGTTAATTGCAATTAAATGAAATTGTATTATAGTTTACATTTAAATTAAATGCAGTTAGCTGAAATTTAGACTGATTTTTAAGTAGGACTTAAGTACATCTTTATATGTAATATAATTATTTCTGTCTTTGAAATATGCTTAATGTACTGACAAGCATTTATGATAAACTAAAATATACTTGTTAAACTAAAAAGTATGTTATTTCTATTGAAACTTGCATGTGTTATATTTAAATATGTTTGTAATTACACATTAGTAATGATGAAGTTGCTAAATATATTACCTTTAAATGTAATATTGAATAACACACTACAGTTAAAATTATAATTAAGTACTTTCCATGTGCTTTAGTATGTTAGTCAACACATCAGAATAAGTGCACTTCTTTAAAGCATGACAAAAGATTATTAAAACATATTGATTTAAAATGCAATTTGAAGTAAAACTTGACATTATTACAAAGTACGCTTTTTAAAAGTCTACTTAAGTGTGTTCAGAAACAGTCATGAAAGTGTGTTTAAGTACACTTTTACTGGCCTATTATTTCATTAATATTATATGCAAGTACTTTTTTAAAAATATACTTCTAAGATTTGAAGTACTATTTGGTACTATTAAGTGCACTTCTCTTTTCAATCAAAAGTGCACACATTAAGTACTGTATGTGTACATTGTGAAATGCATTTTCTTACAAAATGACCAGACTAATTGCAGATGCACAACTCTGAACTCATGCGGTGTGTTACGGTTTAGTGCAGATATGACGTGTGTGTGTGTGTGTGTGTGTGTGTGTGTGTGTGTGGGTCGTTGCTGGCGATACAACAGTGACTGGACCGTCAGCAGAGCAGACAGCAGGACTCACAGCCAGCAGCATTTTCCACGATGACCTGGGGTTTGTACACAAAACTCTCTTCAGCCATTATAAAATTTCCTTTCCGTTCCTCTCTTCTAAGCATGACTCTTGTTTCATGTATATAAAATAATGCAATTAAAACAGTTAATTCAAAATCATAGTGTCGTTGTTTTAACGTGTCTTTTGTCCAGTCCTCCGCAGTGTAAGAGCATTAGTTTGGAGCGAGGGCCTGACGGACTGGGCTTCAGTATCGTGGGTGGATTCGGCAGCCCTCACGGTGACCTTCCCATCTACGTCAAAACCGTCTTCAGCAAGGTAACGCTTTGGCACAGCGAATGTGTACATCCACTGATGCCACGAGACAGACAGATGCATTATTATCTGGTGTGTGTGTGTGTGTGTGTGTGTGTGTCTGTGTGTGTGTTCAGGGGGCCGCGGCAGAGGACGGGCGTCTAAAGCGCGGAGATCAAGTCATCGCCGTTAACGACCAGAGTCTGGAGGGAGTCACTCATGAGGAGGCCGTCTGTATTCTGAAGAAAACCAAAGGAACCGTCACACTCACTGTGCTGTCATGAACACACACACAGGTCCTGTAGTTGTTTAGACACTGGATGACACACTGTGGATGATAGAGCTGTTTACTGCTAGTTTGTGGAGAAACCAGCAGACTACTACAATCTGCCGTACTATGCTGAGACTGTAGAAACTCAGCTCTACTGCGATCCACACACATGCATTTGAATCTACATGCTTTAAAATGCTGAAATGCTCATGGCTACATGGCACATCTGGTTATGCCATATTTTTCCATCATTTGATAAATAGAAAATGCACAAATATCTCTTTCCTGTTGCATTAAAAAACTGGGTGTACAACTTTACAACTTTGTTGTAAATTGACCCCATTGGTTTGCATGCAATTTGCCAAAAATCAACTCTGTAAAACATTGAAACCCTCTATTTTAGCTTGTCAGAGACTAATGTAATAATTCCCATCTATTTCTAGTGCCTTTTTGTTATTATTTGTTGTTGTTGTTTTTTTTTGACAAACTCAACTAGATAAATGAAAAGTGAATTTTCCTTGCACAATTCAGAAAACAAATCTTAAATTTCGACTGAACTCTGAATTTTAACGTTCATAAGTTTTCATGCATTTCATACTTTAGTGTTTGACACGCTATAATAAAGGTTTTCTGGTTTTTACCGGACTCTTTGCTGGTTTTCAAAGTGTTGATTTTTGGCAAACTGCATGGAAACCAGCCATTTTGAGCACATTTTCAACCTTTTCAAAACAACACACAAAACACTTTGCATGCACATTCATGAAATATTCACCAAAATTCAACAAGAATCAAATTGTTTGCGTCCAACATCAGTTGTGTTGGGAAAATAAGTCAATGAAATTGTGCAATTAGTCAAGTTAAGCTCAATTTATGTGTGAAAACAAACGTACTGAATAGAATGATATCTTTTTAAGCAGCGGTGGCACAGCTCTTTAGTATTTGAGCATTCATTTAAAAAAATACAGCTTCTTATGATCAAAGGACCTCAATATGTTTGATATTACACACCACTGTCAGAATGTTTTTTACAAGTTATAATCAAAAAAATGAAAGCAATAACTGCTAGTTTTACACTGCAAAAAATATACTGACGGGGCAATAGGATGACAGTCCTGAATGTGGATTTTAATCATCAAAACAATTCATCCTGATTATAAACTCAAAATATTTGAATAACCACCTTTGCTTCTTAAAAAAAGAAAACTTATTTTATATAGACGGAACAGACTGTTTGTAGAAACTGTGTGTGTGTGTGAGCAATGTGCTGATATTAATGATTTCTTTGAAAAGAAAAACAAGCATCAGTGCATTTAATGACATTCCTGAAGTTTTGCCTTCATCGGAGACGTTTGCTGCTGGATGTAGAACAAACTACTGTGATATATTGTTATATTGTCATTTTCCTCTGATACAGTATTGGATTTCACTACAAACACAGATAAAAGTGACCTTCAGCACGCAAAAATCCGTCCCTTTTTATTTAACAGATTTAAATTTTCTCTACAACTTTTTTTTTTTTTTTTTTTATAAAAAGGAACTTGCATGGTTACACCTCATACAGTAAATGTAAAAAAAAAAAAGTAAAAATATGAATAGACACTTCAGTCATCTAAATCTGCTAAATCTCCAAGATTCAAAAGCAATCCTGTCATCACAGCCGAGCGAGATCGCATTCATCTGCTGCCTGTTTAAACCTGGTTCGACTAGTTGTCAAGACGTTATGATTGTACTGTCAAACGCATGATAAATTAATCTTGTGTTTTTGGAGGAATGAACACTACAAAATCAGCATTTTCTAAAAATTCTGAAAGTTTGTAACATATTCACTGGTTCTATAAAAACATATTCATATGGAACTTCGTACACTCCAGCATAACATGCATACAGAAAGTTTCACAAACAATTAGTTTTTTTTTACAAAGCTTCATATTCCATATGCATGAGCGTGAAATGAAAGGTCAGGTCAGCTTAAGGCAGTTCCCACATGAGACGACGAGCCTACTTGTTGTCTTTATAGTTATTAAACAAAAACCAAAAAAGTGGGGGAAAATCTATGCAATTAAAACATATGGAGAATATCTTTTTGTTTGTATTCCGTATTAAATAAAGCATATTTTCTACACACTATTAGTTAGTTCCTTCAACAGAATTAAATAATCATGATTCATTTCATTTCCAACCAGTCTTTACGAAACAGAACAAATTGGAGATAATGTCAAATTGGGTAAATATTGTTTATTTAAATCTTAGTTTGATTTCTTAGATTTTCTCTGGAGCTCAGTTTGAAAACTGTGGTCTAGAAGTCCAAATTAAATGTACTGTTGTCAAAAACAAAAGGAGAACAATCTGGAATGCTTTTACGCCATGTCTCGCCTGCGGGACCCTACAGATACTACATTAATTTTCAGATGTGTGTCTTCGATACCTGTCTATGCATGTTTGAACATGTTACAGGCTTGATGTGGTATGCATTACAGCACAAAGTCCATACATCTGCGATTACTAGTGCAAATGCACTATTTGGCATTATAATACATTCATTTTTTACCCATTATCAGCATAATTTGAAAAGCTGAGGAAAGTAAAACCTGATGATCCATGTTATCCCAGCATGACTCGGGCAAAGAGCATGTTGTGTGTGCTTTTATGCACGAAAATTTGACCTTTTGTACAGAGTATGCATTACAGCACAAAGTCCATACATCTGCGATTACTAGTGCAAATGCACTATTTGGCATTATAATACATTCATTTTTTACCCATTATCAGCATAATTTGAAAAGCTGAGGAAAGTAAAACCTGATGATCCATGTTATCCCAGCATGACTCGGGCAAAGAGCATGTTGTGTGTGCTTTTATGCACGAAAATTTGACCTTTTGTACAGA